GATCAGGAAGGCAATAAAAATTGGACATCCCTCCGGGATTAGGACAAACCCTGACGTATGTGGCATGTAAAATCCTGAGACATTTTCAAGGGGCCTATAGGAACTTATTTAAAAATCAATTTCGTTCTAACGCCCTCGATACGGCGCATTTCCTTGCGATAAAATACGGTGAATGCATTCGTTACTCGAAATATATGAAGCATAAATCAATAACGGCGTACTGATACAGAATTTACGAGATCATTCAGCTTATAACTCGAATAACACATAATGCACGATATCTATATTCAATTGAATTCGTGAATAACGTAATTCAACATCACACAAATATTAGCAGATCGAGCGAATAATTCTAACAGAAGGCGAATCGGTAACGCTAACAAGATGCAGCTGTTGCGAGGACATTTGAAAAACTCGTTAGTCCTCGAAAATAGAATATAAAGTGTCACTCCTTCGATAATAAATCAGGGGTGATTAATGTTCGTTAGCAACGAAGCTCTCCGTGTGACGGGGCTGTGCCTCATTGGGTGGTGCGGACGCCATATTGCTCGGAACTTGTAGCTGTCAAAGTTTGAAATATCACTGGTCGCCTTTCTTCCCTCGGATTAGTTACTTATAACGAGATAGTGCGGATCACGAAATCGCATATACCTGAGAATTCATTGTGGCGATAAAAAACTAAGAATTTAGAAAGGTCGGCATCGATTTCACGGATAAATTGATAAATTTACGTTTTGTTCTGGAGGTGTAAAATTATAGCGCAACATTGACTCCAAGAATTGATTTATATTATGACCCAAAAGCCAAAACATTGTTATCTATTGTAAAAATGAATTTATTGTCATAATAAATGTGACATGCTGTATCGCATAAATCCGATTTAGGATGACTTATATTTGGACTGTTTTCGCTATCTCCAATATTTATTATAAGAACTCGCTACTTCAGATATCTCTCGAAACAATAAATGAATCTTCCGACGTTAAAGTTGAATAGGCAAGCTTTATTGCTCCGGTAACAAGTTTGATTGTAGACCGGAGACCGCAAAGTAGACGTTTAAGGCTGTGGTTTCATATAAAGCTATACGTCGCACACAGCGTCACGAACTACGATGATCATTATTTTTAAAGAGGTTATTTTACAGAAGATAAATAATATACTTCTTCTTGATAGGCTGTAGTAGACATAAACACTTTTACCGCGTCTGTAGTTATTTCGAATTACGGTAAAAACAAATTATTATATTGTTTATTGTCTACTGTTGGGAGTGATAACTCGTCTTATATGCCCCTAATAAATGGAATTTAATAATAAGCATTCTGACGCGGGCGCGTTACGCTATCAACTACAGCTAATAGGAGACCGCAGCCTAACAAGTTTGATTGCATACCGCAAAGTAGACATTTTACCTACCACGTACCCATTGGCCATACAAATCATGAACTGTCAAACGTGCTGATATCGTCCTTAAGTTGAGACATTAGGGTCGGTTATTTTCAGTGAAAAAGCGGTACGTGAGTGGAGCTAAAGTGCCCGATCGAACCGCCAATTTGCGATTTAACGTATGTAATGTAAGGACGCGAAAGCGAATACACAATTCAGATAATAATGTACTTCGAAAGCCATATTATTACGGAGAAGCGGTTAAATATACATGTAACATACAATTGTTTATAGAAGGATTTTCTATCTATTATGGTCTTTAAAATCATTGACTTTTTGGTTCATTCACCTGACGTAGTGTTCACATTTAGTGGTTGCGGTGGCAAGTTGGGCCGGAGCAAGTTTCCAACTTAAGTTCGGAGTTGGCAAAGAAACCACGAAGGTACAACTAAGTAAATCTCGGGATATATGAACTCAAAGATTTCATGAACAAGACAATTCGTTTAATACCAAACGTAAACTTGCAATGTAATCGTAGCTATGTTACACTTGAATTAAAAGTGACAATAAAAGTAGGTAGGTACATTTCTGTGGCCGTTTCACAACGAATCTATTGTATCTACTACCTAATTATACACACCCAAACAAAGCAATTAAACATATTTTTTCTAGAATTCGATCTTATAACTTGCGCTGAGGCAGTATTTACATACGTATTATATAATAAGATCAAGAACTCACTAGTTACAAAGTAACTGTTAGACAATTAATAATAATTAAACTGTCCAATACTATCAATAGTACCTACCTATACAACGATTATTGTATCTACTGTTGGGATGAGAGAATGTATAAAAGTTGTATATTATATAATATCACACACAGTGTGAAACGGTATACATAAGATAGTTATATGAAAGTAAATACTGTGTGCATTATGCTTAAATGCAAGTTTGGTCGTTGAGGCAGGGATTTCGCTAGGATTTTGTCTGCGTTTGAAATAAATTTAGCAGATCTGCAGTCTGAATGCGTTGAGACATTGCAGTTTTTAGTCTGGAGTTATGGCTGTAGGAACAAAGGAATATGCGAGTGAAGAATCGCATTAAGTATTGTCTGTGTAATAAAAATTATGTAATATACAGTAATAAAAACTAAACTAAACATAAAATTAGAATTAAGAGTAGTTCATAGTTTCTCTGTAAGTAATTATGTGAATCTTAAGAGGAATAAACGTCTTAAACCATAAACCATAGTAAAAACGGTTAAAAACGAGGAAAAAGGTAATTCACCCTGTGGTTTAACGCATTCTCAATATCAAATCGTAGTTAAAAATTAATGAACTAAAATACTTTATTTCGAACCGTTAAGCTTACGGGAGTAGTTTAAATTAAAAAAGCTTTTAACGGTCTGAGACGTGAAATGTATTTGTTAATTTTTTAACAATTTGTGCCGTCTTGGGAATCAGTGTGGTCACCACTGCTGCAAGGTATTAAAAACGTCGGACCCTAAAAAAGGTTGTTTATAAGTTAACTAATAAAATTCACGTTTTAAACCGTTAAACGTGTTTTATTTAAACGGTGAAAATACGTGCTGTTTTGTATGAATTCTTGGCCTTGCTCATTGGCATTTTAATGACACACCTATTAAATGGTATACCGTAACCAGCAGCTGTTAAATAGCTTTGAGAGCAAGCTGATAGATTAAAAAACATTATTTATTTATCTTCATATATTGAAGACACTGAATGGACATAAATAGTATATGTTTGATATAAACTTCAGTGGGAGATATAATGTTGCAACGAACTGAACGCAAGATTTTTTTCTAAGTTCTTTGTTTTTCCGAAACTTTGCCAAGTACCTAAAATAGCTTACGTAAGTAACAAGCATTATCATTAATGTTTTCTTATAAAATCTTATTACTCATAAAATAATTATAAAGAGATTACGAAGCATTTACAGTATGACGTAGGTATTACGATTATTATATTTTTTCATAAGCACACAAAGTACACATTGACGGGGATCAAACTTCACTAGGCAATAAAACATTCCACGAAACCTGTGTCAATAAAGATAAAGGAAAACTAATATCAAAACAGGAATAGGTACGTGATAAGAAAACATTTATTCCCTATGTTTAATGCATGATTTGTCATAATTTTCCAGCCTCCCTTGTCTGTCCGTTGTTTTGTATCTAGTGGGGAAATGGGCGTTGATGATTTATCGTTCGTCTTATTTATTTCGGAGAAAAATCGTTTAGGGGATGTTGGAGGCTAGGTTTATTAACAAACACGCTGTCGAGATTGTGGCAGACGCGACGTTATTACCTACTTCTTCAATTGTATCCTAAATCTCGGGTCACATATTACGTAGTTGTAATCGTTAATGTGATATTAAAGCCTCAGATATAACACAACTTATGAGAAATATATCAGTTAAATTTATTATATGAATTATTTGTAAACAAGTTTAACTAATATATTTCGCGTTTTAAACCGTTAAAATATTTTATTTAAACATGTACTTATAATAATAGAAGTATTCTACAAAACTTCTCCGCGTCGGGTTTAATATCCAGTGAGATCGTATTAACATTTTTAATTTAGTTTAATTATTTCTAAAAGATAAGGTAGAGAATATTCTTGTTTAATTTCTTAAGTATATTTTTCGATGATGAAATCACCATCTCAAAGAACAATCATGTCACATGAAAATACGAATTTTAAAATAAATTATGGGTCTGTACCAATTTAATCCGTACAGTTATAGCATAAACTGCGAATCAAAAGTTCGCGATAAATCACAATATGGCGTACGGTGCGCCGTGTTTGCTCTCGCCCACATAATCCGTTCATACGCCGGTAAATCCATCCAACGGTGTCGCGCACTCTACTAAATCATCATAAGAGAATCCCTACGCACACACGCCTGGCCTTTTATGTGGCCTTGGTACTCATCTTCAAATACCGATAAATAAATTACCCGACCTTGGTCCTTTACATAATATATCTTAGTGACTAATTTTTCACACTTTATTTGAAGGGATCTACAACGGATTAGAATTTCCAGAGAACACGACTGTTAGTTTAAAGTATCTATCTATACTCTATAATTATTGATGAATACTAAGAAATACTCTCCATACATTGTAAAGGAATTGTTCGTTGTTAACAAGTGTATTTCCCTTATTCTATATTTGAAAAAGCCTTTGGTGAAATAGCAGAATCATTATCAGATCGTTCGCTGTCGCGTGGCCCCGTGAAAAACTAGTCAATATATTGCGTCCGTTTTGTTCGATTTTCCCAGCGCCGCCACCGTTACTGAAAAAGTTTGCATCGTAATGCAATCGCGCGGCATTAGTTTTGCAGTTTATCAGCGCGTTCTCGCCGCTGCAAAAGCTTTGAGGGATTAATACGGCGGCGCGCTGCTGAATAAATTGTTTACAAAATACAACGAACGCTACGTAATTATCGTGTATTTTTACATTCGTAATTAAGTGAACGTATATAAAAACCCGTGCATACATTGTCATGTGGATATTTAAAAATTAAATTTCGCATACACTTTTCCATGTAGGATAGAGCAAAAAACTCGCTTCGGAGCAATTATGTGCACTTAGCTGAGCCGGCATTTCAGTACATCAAAAATAAAATGAAGTTGTACAACGTGTAAAAAGTTGACTAAACAACGCTCGCGCAATATTTGTTTGGACATCGTAATTTTTAGTTGAGGGCGGTGAGCTATAGCAGCAATTTGACTTTTCGGTCGATTTATGCGATTCGCGCCGCGGAGAGCGGGCGAACGAGGGGATTCGTTGGGAGCGGGGGGCAATTTTTTAGTTTTTCGACTCTTTATATCAGTCAGATGTCTAGCTGGTGGATTGGGTGCGTGATTGATATGTTTACGGTATTGCATCGTGCGAATAACATGATGCATGCGTGCGCAACAAAGCTAAATTCTAGTATTGATTGCTGCAAACTGCATGCGTGCTTATAAACTAACTTTTGCACTAGACTTTGCATGGAAAACTCGTCATGAATATTTAAACATGACAAAAAGTTCGCGGGTAGTTTCTGCGATTTTCTGTATTATGTTATACTTTCCTGCTAACGCTACAACACTTATTTATTTATTTATTATTTATTTATTTATTAACTTTATTAATTACAAACACCACAGAAATGGTTTACAACAATAAATTCTTATGTACTAACATACATAACTAAATGAAACTTTATTAAAAGGCTATTGTTATTTTTTACGTAATTTAGGTACGATTACAGTTATCTATTTACTGATGATGTCTCCTGCAAAATTCCCATTTTATGGGTTCTAGATATAGTTTTTTTTAACTCCTTTTTTTTTAAACAACCTACTTCCAATGTGGCAAATGATAAATGTATTTTATATATTCAATCCTTCTATCGGGCCACATAAAACTTACTTCACTTTATTTTACTTGAACTAGTCGCATTTACATACGAGTTTCGTAACAATAGCTTCTGTGATCAGTTAAGTTTGTTAGTCCGTCTACGTCAGTGCTGGACATGTAGATGAAGCGATAGTGGCCGCCAACGTCGCAACTCGCAAAACCTAGTCGTTTTGTATAAAGGAAATTGTGAAATATATGCAACATGTTTCTTCTGTGAAGGCTAGGTATATATGAGAGTTTTACGTTGCACAAAGAATTATAATAAAACCTTGTATATACATATATTAATCCAAAATCTATAAGTGCCACGCATAAATTATTTTTTTTCTTTTTTTTCATATTTTTCATGACACAGGAAGATAGATAAGCATGGTTCACTTGATGGAAGGTAAACTTCAGTCTATGGTTGGTCTTGGTTATTTTCAAATCCGAAGACTGAAACCGAAGTGCTCCATAGGTGTTTCATCTGTGGACGATATATCCGGTACGAAATTTAATATTCCTATTGCACATTTAATATCCACATATCCAGACTTGATCTTAATAATAATAAAGCTTCTGAAAAATTATAATATGATTAAAAACAAGTTGGACCTGGTGGGAATCGAACCCAAGACTCAGGAGCTATGCTATCAAATCATAATAAATCCTTATAATCAAGTGACCATTTACCATTAAACTAATACAGAACTCTGATAAAAACTTGTGGGCTAATTTATTAGTTTTTATAAATCAGGTTTTAAATTCATATACCAACCGGCGTCTTCTTAAAAATATTTTGTCATGTTAATAACCTTTTATGGAGGAACGCAAATTATGAATATTTATAAATACTGTAAAAGGGACAAAAAGATAAGCATTTAAAAATTATCTTTATGAAACAGTCCTGATATTTCATGCGAGTACTTGAAATAAACAAGCTTGATGAGAAAACAAATAAGGTAGCGGATAATAACATAAATTTTCCTTACGTCTCCCGCGGGAGGCATTCATCCCGGAAGGTCTGATACATTTTTAACTCTAGTTTAAAGTTAAGTTATGTACACTCTTCTACAAATTATACATTTCACTATTAAGACAAAGAAACTCCATCTACGGAAAAACGAATTGCAATTATCTACGTGTTTTCTTTCGAACTTATAAAAGTTCTTTATTCAAATTTTTCCCGACTTCATCTGCCGGGAGAAATTAACACTGGCTAGTTATAAATGCATAAATACTTTTTTCTTCACAATATTTTTTATTGTACTGCACAGTCTGTAGATAGCTAAGCTACATTGGTTTAGTCAGAGATAAACGACTCGCTTGTAGATAATATTTCATATCCAATGTCTACAAGATACAAACTGAATCATAGTATGCAAACCGACCTGGAGGTTATTCGTGTTTCTTTCAACGGTCGTAAATTCAATGTTGGAATGTTTTAATTCCCCAACGAATTTTATTACTATTAATTTTATGTCGTAATTATTTTAATTACAATTATTTCACTGAACACTCGCCTTATTAATAAATAATTAAATATCAATAATTGACGTTATTAATTTAAAAGACATTACGTGTAGTTCCATATTAAGATTTTTATTTACAATCTCCATTTCGGTCGAATTAATAATGCCACTTGCTGTTAGTACGTTTAAAATGTATGCGAAGGCTGAAAAACGTAGTTTTATTCTACGATTTTACTCTATAATCTATTCTTAGCGAGACTTGTATGGTATCAAGATCAAAACAATACCATTGTATGTGATCTGCATTGCCTTTTACGAAACATAACTCGAACTGGAGTAGTCTAAGTTATAAATAATACTGTTTATACATTACACTAAGGCAGATATATATTCGCATAAAAATCATTATAACCTATAAGATATTTTTACATAAGACCTTTTTCTAAATGTACCAAAATACTAGCTCTACACTTTTATATGCTCAAAAGTGAATTAAATAACTAATAAGTCTTCTCTTAAGGCATAAAGGACAGATACACTATAGGACTTTTGGCGTGAGAGGAAATGCAATTTAAATGTCTATTGCGTATATGTAAAGAAAAAAAACAAATAGTCTCTCTTCAGACCGTCATAGAGTAATATATAAACACAGATGCGTAAGTATGTATTTAACTGGAGGGTTCGCATTCAGCGCTGTTAATTTGTCACAGTGAATTAGCCACGGACGGGGTAAGTGATAGCCTTAGCATGTTGCACCCTGCATGGCGCCAATATGCTCGTAAATGTCGTTACAGCACAATTTAATACCTAACTATGTGCCTAGATGCGTATCTGTTTATATATTGTTTAACTAATCAATGGGTAAAATATTGGAAACACGTGGGCTCTTAGAAACAGTTCTAACTGCGTAATATGCTTTCTTAGATGGAGTATTATTATTTATTACTAGACATTTATTCCAGTAAAATTTTCAAACTTTCCCGGGATACATACCCAGGACCTTAAGCACTTAAAGCAATGTGAAAAACTCGTAAATTAGCTAAGTCGCAAAATACGTTTTAAAGTAATCTTAAAGCACCTTCTATATTTAATAGTAAAGTTTTATTACACTCATTTAAGTGTTTAAAAAACCATTTCTAACGGAAAACAATGTCCGCAGAGATTTTATGGTCACTGTATTGTTGGAACGAATCGTAAAAAACTATAAGAATTGTAAGTTTTAACTTCTTACCTTTGTGCGGGAGATAAAGGGAGAAAGTTGCACAACGAACGGTCAGCTTTCTAAAATTCTATATTGTTATCCTATTGTGAGAATAAAACTCTTTTAAGTTACCGTTAAAGGGTCCTTCGAGTGAGGATTGTTTGTACAAGTAAACAATTAAAAAAAGTGTCTGTCATTTTATTCTTAAAATAGTGTAATACAGACATGCATGCATTTTACCCCAGCCCTATGTAATTAGCATGTTCTGTCAACATATTGCTTTTAAGTTTAAATCATTCGGAATTCCAAACACACACGGATAATTTAGTAGAACGGAATTTCCTCTTTTAATTCAAAATTTTCAAGATGGGGTCTAAAATATAATAAACCAAATAATTTAATTAATCTTCATAGATAAATTTTAATCTTACTTCGACCAGAAATGTTTCTTGTTAATAATGACATACTATACTTAATTTAGTAGTGTTTAGTAGTTAAGATTCAATGTAGTAAGCACAATGAGCTACTAAAGTAGGTACCTATACATATATAAAATGTTAAGTTTCGTAATAAAAAAATAATTAGAGTTTCTTTCAGTTACGGGTATAGTTTATTCTATAGATTAATAGTCCATTTGTTTTTGTAAAACATAGATAATAACAATGAATTTATATACAATAACAGATATATACAACGTGAATAATAAACAAATCGATTGATCACTTCATGATCATTTAGCTCGTTTTAAATTCATAATGTAAAGGCGCTAACACAGACCATAAACAATGGGCCGCGTGTAATGCAGACGTTTATGATTGTCGAGTAACATGACAATAATGCATCAACTATATCAAGCCTCATTGAGCTAGATACGCGGTGCATAAATCATCGAATCGGACTCGCAAATAAATCGAATAAAAAGTACGCAATGCGCATTCATCGCATTGTTTTTTTTGTTTTAGTTCGGAAGCACCGAAACGCTGAGTTAGATACATCATTTATCTATTCCATTTTTAAACAACATAATAAATACAATACAAATATTAATAGCTAAAAATAGATGAGCGACAAATACTCAGAAAAGTGCCCATGCTCTATATATCAGTAGAGAGAATTTACTTTATTATTATATAAAGAAATTCGCACAAGAGTTTCATAAAGAACATAATTTCTTCATACGTTGAAATTTTATCGGATAATAACTTACCAAAATACACCGTTACAATTCAATTTAACAGTAAACATTATCAAGGAAAATAACTGTAGGCAATGAAATATCGCGACATGATTAACGTGTGTTGTTGCAAAAACAAAAAGCATACAAATTGAGAAGAGCTATAAATATTGTCGGGCGTTCATCATAACTCTCATCCGAAGCCTGGATACAGAATTTCCACCTAATAAAAGGCCATGTTACGTGTAGGGTTAGACACGCAATTAAGGGGCGACCAGCTTGTTTAGACACCCCAACGCGTCCTTGTACAGGGTAAACGGGGAGAATATATGAAGTACTGTAGATCGCGTTACGTTGGTGGGGTTCCGTAAAGTTTCACGTGGAGCGTTAATTAGTGCGCGCTTTACGTTCTTAGGCTGTGTTTTGTAGTTGTATGAGATACATCTATGAACTGAGCTAAAGAATCTTAACAGTGTAGAAAAGAACTAAACAAGAGCTAGTGCAAGGCCACTCATTTGCAACACTTATGAATGACAAGTTTTCTAAAACCTGAAAGCAGTTTTAATGGAAAGTCATATTTATAAATTATTTCTTGAAATTCGACCCCAAGAAAGCATAAACGTGTCGGTAACTTGTTGATAAAATCGATAAATGAAC